CATTCAGAGCAGGCTAAGATGCAGCCATGACATGAAAATTTTGGAGGTTGCTCATATATTTGCATCGTATACCATCACGGTTTGCTAAGATGCAGCCATGACATGAAAGTTTTGGAGGTGGCTCATGTATTTGCATCGTATACCAGCACGGTTTGCTAAGATGCAGCCATGACATGAAAGATTTGGAGGTGGCTCATACAGTGAGGATCGAAAGTTTGGGCACCCCAGCTAAAAAGTTGTATTAATGTGCATAAAGAAGCCAAGGAAAGATGGAAAAATCTCCAAAAGGCATCAAATTACAGATTAGACATTCTTATAATATGTCAACAAAAGTTAGATTTTATTTCCATCATTTACACTTTCAAAATAACAGAAAACAAAAAAATGGCGCCTGCAAAAGTTTGGGCCCCCTGCAGAGTTAATATCTTGTACTGCCCCCTTTGGCAAGTATCACAGCTTGTAAACGCTTTTTGTAGCCAGCCAAGAGTCTTTCAATTCTTGTTTGACGTATCTTTGCCCATTCTTCCTTACAAAAGTCTTCCAGTTCTTTGAGATTTCTGGGCTGTCTGTCACGCACGGCTCTTTTAAGGTCTATCCATAGATTTTCAATTATGTTGAGGTCAGGAGATTGTGAAGGCCATGGCAAAACCTTCAGTTTACGCCTCTTGATGTAATCCCCTGTGGATTTCGAGGTGTGTTTAGGATCATTGTCCATTTGTAGAAGCCATCCTCTCTTTAACTTCAGCTTTTTCACAGATGGCATCAAGTTACCATCCAACGTTTGCTGAAATTTTATTGAATCCATTTTTCCTTCTACTCGTGAGATGTTCCCTGTGCCACTGGCTGCAACACAACCCCAAAGCATGATTGATCCAACCCCATGCTCTGCAGGGTGCCCAAACTTTTGCAGACGCCATTTTTTTGTTTTCTGTTATTTTGAAAGTGTAAATGATAGAAATAAAATCTAACTTTTGTTGACATATTATAAGAATGTCTAATCTGTAATTTGATGCCTTTTGGAGATTTTTCCATCTTTCCTTGGCTTCTTTATACACATTAATACAACTTTTTAGCTGGGGTGCCCAAACTTTCGAACCCCACTGTATATTTGCATCCTATACCAGCACAGGTTTTTATTATTATTATTATTATTATTATACAGGATTTATATAGCGCCAACAGTTTGCTCAGCACTTTACAATATAACGGGAGACAATACAGCAACAATACAGCTCAATACAAGAGGGATTTGAGGGCCCTTGAAGCTTACAATCTAGGAGATTGCCCCCCTTCTTCCAATGACAGAGTTGGTTTTAGCTTTAAATACCTCATATGCTTGGTTCATACATACTCTTATATTTTCCTGGATTTGCTTTTTGGGTTTGACTGTGGTTGGGGAATTATCATTATTACATACTTACTGTATATAGTGCCATCTATTTATGCAGCAATTTACGTAACAGTATATTGTATATTCCCAGTCCCTGCCCTCATACAATATAAGGTCCTTAACTCATATTCATACATACACATACTAGGGCCAGTGTAGACAGGGGTCAGCCTACCAGCATGTCTTTGAGGAAACCAGAGTAGCCGGAGGAAATCCATGCAGGCAGAGGGAGAACATGCAAACTCCAGGCAGGTGGTGCCATGTTTGGGATTCGAACCTACGGCCCTTGTGCTGCCAGGCGGAAGCGCTAACCACTTACCCCCCCTGTGTTGACCGAATTTAGTTCTCTACCTGTGTTTCAGTGTGTGTACAGATCATCAGCGAATTCTGAACAGGTGAAATGGGTGAGAACAAAGTGATGAACTATTGAAAAGGTAACAGGAGAAGCAAATCTATATTGTGAAAAAATGTAAAAACCCATAACAGGTATATCACCTGTAGAAAAATATTATAAAAATTGCACCTCTTGTCTTTGTGGACCACTCCTTATAGCTCAGGGCATTTCAGTTACATTGTGTTACTTTGTCAAAGTCATGCCACAATTGAGGCCTTCTCACTAGGGCCACCAGAATGTCTCCTTTTCTCAGAAAGCCATCTTGAACGTAGCCGCAAGGCCAGCAAGTTTGAACGTGCCTTTTTTATGCAGTTGGATGATGTCAGGGCAGACGTCAGTTACATGCTAGACGGGCTCTGCGAGCATAGCTTAAGGTTACAATACTGTGTGTAATGCTGATTGTCATTCGTTTGCAATATATAACTGGAATTCTTTCTGCATTTACCTTGTAAACCATTGTTTGCAGCCACATTCCTCCACAGGCTGTGTCGCCTGCAGCTATCTGAAGCTATACTTTGAGTTTATCTTGCCTTGGGCCAAATATCAGAGCAAAGTATGTTGTGGACGTGTGTATAAATGCAACGTCATTGCTTGTATTGTATTTACCATCTTGGTCTTCTAATTCTGTCTAAATGGTGTACACACCCCGGATGAGTTTGCATCTGAGCTGTCATCTGCTTCCTTTTCTCCATTTTACCACCATTTTGATAATGTCATTTACTGTGTCCTCAGATTGCAATACCTCCTCAAGGTGTGGCCTGCTGTACGTTTATTAAAGTAGATCCGAATCTAGTAACTCTCTAAATTTCTCTATATCTGGTATAAGAGCCCACATGGGCATTCTGATTTAGCCAAAAACAAACAAAAATTCCCAGCTCGCTTACCAGCCAGCCTGTAGAAAACCGTGTCTAACAGTTCACATTGTAAGCTCCTTGAGGGCAGGGACTGATGTCAATGTATAATACATCTGTAAAGCGCTGTGTAAATTAACAGTGCTGTACAAGTACCTGAAATAAATAAATAGCATAATGGTCTGCCTTACAATGTGTGATATCTTATTCAGTTTTTCCAGCTGATGGGACATTGGTTCCATTTCTCCTTTGTGTCTGGAGCTATCCCATCATTATGTGTGTGTTGCTTCTGTACATCCGTATCTCTGTGATAAGAGACTCGGTGGGTCCCTTCGTTGTATTCTTTGATGGGCAGTCTCTGTATGTCCACACTCTTTCCAGGATCCCAAAGTTTTATGAGTTAAGCTGGCCATGCATGAATCTAAATTCGGCCAGTTCAGCAGGGACCGGCTGAATTTCAATCCCATGTATGGGCACCCTGGTTGTACAGTGGTCGATCTACTGACTACAGCCGACATAGCTGACAGCACTGATCTTTGTATTCTGACATTTGAGAAGGCTTCCCACCGTCAGCATACAATAGCACAATGGGAGGAATCCCCCATCCATATCATATGTGTTTAATGGGGGAATATGATCATTTTTTTTTTTTCATTCAACCCGCTGGTTGAATGAAAAAATTGATATATGAATGTAGTGCATTACACCTACAGGTGACCCATAATGACTGATGAAACACAATACTATCTGTGGGTTGCTTCTTGTTTTATATATGTTTAGTTAACAGTTATTCAGCAAGGATGTGGATTGCACTTTCTGATGTACAGATAACCTCTAGAACAGAGATGGACAATTATTTTTCCCAAGGGGCCAGATGAGAAACTGAGACTGTTGTGGATGGTGGAACCAATATTTATATTTACCCTTCACTGCTAAACACGCTTCCGGGGTGTAAAGTAACTTCTGCAGCAAGATGGAAGTAAAGGCCAATTAGTGAGGGTGTAGGATCCATCCCTCACCTGTGGGATGGAGAGTGTGACTTGGCAACACCTACCCACTTGTCCTCACCTGCATCATATCCTTGTTTCCCACCTCCCATGGTCCGTTCAGTCACTCAGGGGGTGATGCCACCTTTCCTAAACAGCCGAAGCCACTAGGAAAGGGCAGAAGCGTGACCAGCGCCATCTTGGCAACTGGCAGACCAACAAGGGTAAAGGCAAAGCTGCCGCCATTCTGTTGACTAGCTGGCTTGGATCTTGGGGTTTCTGATGTCTAATTGACCTCACATGGGCCAGACAGGGTTAGCCAAAGGGTGACCAACACCATCTTGGCAACTGGCAGACCAACGAGGGTAAAGGCACAACTGTCGCCATTCTGTTGACTGGCTGGCTTGGATCTGGGGGTTTGTGATGTCTAATTGACCTCACATGGGCCAGACAGGGTTAGCCAAAGGGATGACCAACACCATCTTGGCAACTGGCAGACCAACGAGGGTAAAGGCACAACTGTCGCCATTCTGTTGACTGGCTGGCTTGAATCTGGGGGTTTCTGATGTCTAATTGACCTCACATGGGCCAGACAGGGTTGACCAAAGGGCTTTAGAGTTAGAATCTACAAATTTGTGTATAAAATGTATTCATGAGGATATGTCACAGAATGTGAAAAGCCTGGAGCTACAGAAAAATGTATTTCAGGTATAAATTGAGAATATTCAATACAAATATATTACATATTCTCTTAAAGCAGTTCATATACAAAGACACAAGTATATTTAAAATATATTTTATTGTTTTTTTTTTTTCTTTTTCATTTTGTGTTGAAATATAGCAGACAGCGGTGATACACAGAAACCTTGCAATGCACGCTATAGCCTTGAAGAAAATGTCCACATTTTTCGTCCCTGTCGGGAGCTTATAGGCGACACAAAAGCCCACACCCCGCAGTGCTCATTTTATACAAAAATAAATATTAACCTATATAAATATTATTTGAAGACTTTAATCTGTATCTCATTTAATCGATACAGTTCTCTTGTTGCTAAAAAATCCGCTAAATATTAGCTTTCAATTATACATTTGTCTTCTGTCATCAGCAAATAAGGATTATATATACAAGAGAATTAGAAGAATGTTGGTTGTCCATTTTGAGTCCAAACAGAAGATTTACCAAAAAGCAGCTTTACCTCTTTTGGGAGGGAGAAGACACATATTTTATACAAGTCTGGTGTTTACACATGATATATTTTAGTCTAAGACATTCTTTGCCGTCTCCTTAGTGTAAACACTCTACCTGAATCAACAGTTTTATTTTTTTTATTTACAACGGTAGCTTTTCCTGTTTCTTTTGGGTTTACCCGTTTCTGTCCCCTCTTTTCAGCATGGTGTTCTGTCTCTTGGACAACTGGGGTATTGACTCCCAATTCTGTTGCGGCAGTCTGGCTTTCCAGGATGTCCTCTTTGATGGCTTGGGCTGCCGGTCCTGGACTGTATGAAGCTAGCTGGCAAAGGGCCACAGCAGCCGATTGTTTTTGCTCATCACAGTTGTCGATCAGTGACTGCTCGCTTAAAGCTTTGGTTGCGTCCTTGATGGTTTGGGTTTGGTAGCTAGAACAGAAGGAACCGTATGTTGGAGATGGTGAACTTTCACTGTTAGGTACTGAATGGTCCCTTTTGCTGGAGTCTTTGACGGAAAGATTTAAGGGCATGTCCTGCTCCCCCATGAGGCAGACAGACTCAGCTACAGAACCCTTTTCTATTTCAGGCTTTCTGGAAAGGTTGAGAGGAGCAAATCCTGAGTCGTCTTCACAACCCGACGCTGATTCATCGTCATCTGAGTAACTGCTTGCGTTGGATAAGGCAACTTCACTTCCAGTGCTAGAATGAAAGAATGAACATGAATTAGATTTATTTGTTTTTGCACAAAAGTCACCTTAACATGAACTAAAGATTTATCTAGCTTATCAGCATCACGGCAACAAAAGTTATGAAATTTTGACTTATGATTACACTTTTTACATTAAACCTGCAGGTCACTTGCCCTGATAACGATTAAAATGTAAATTTAAGGTATTGCATTTATGACGCTCAGCTTGTATTACTTTCTGGAATTCCATGCTGAGGTTGCTATACAAAAAAAACATCTATTTTTTTTTTATTTTCACAAAGCCTTAAGATTGCCTCAGAATTGAGAACACAAGCTGACTTACCATGGAGAGTTTCCTCTGATCAGTGATGTGTGGGAGTCTGTGCTTTTTCTCACTGGCTTGAAAGCAGTGGGGATCTCTTCTGAGCTGTCACTTGTTCCTACTGTTGAGGTAGATTTGCTGGAAAGATCAAAGATGCCCTCAATGACTTGGCTATTCTGCGTGAAGTTGGTGGGACTTGGTCTGCCAGGGGATCCGGTGGCAGCACTACCAGCTCTAGGGCTCATTTTTAAGTTTTCATCTTCGTTTTTTTGATCTGCAGTCCTTGCTTGGCTCAACATTGTGTCTTTTTGACTTTCAGTTTGTGTCTGACTCGTGTCCACAGGATAGAAACGTAGCGGGTTCGAGCTTTGGTAGGGGAAAGATTGAGAGTCTATAGTATGTAGGGTGTGTTCTTTGGACAAGCTTGCACGTGTGGCAGCCTCCAAGTATATGGTAATAGGGAATGTTCTGAAGGGCGGTAATACCCATATGGTATTGATGGGTTGGGCTGGAGTGGCAAATATCTGTAATCGAAAGATGGGTTTAATGGTTTTGGCAAAGAAAGTCCTGAGGTTTGAATAGGTTGGGGACGGAACAGTCTTTGTTCTGGTGCAGTGTAGACTGAGAGCATGGGATTGTCACAGTCAGCAGGGTTCCCTGTAAACACGTATGGAGGGTATAAAGTAGGCACAGCCGACTCAGAATAAAACGGTGTAGTATAATCTGGCACCATTGGACGGATGTATCGTGGAATAGTTGCCTTCTGGCTGACTTCTGGTGGGACAATTCCTGATTTCCATGTAGTTGGCATGCTCTGAAAAGCCGATCTTGTTAGATGAACTCCCTTGATAGAATCGACAGTTGGAATAATTTCTTGTATATGGCTGCCTTCGCTGGCCTTCAGATATCTGTGCTCTCCAACTGGAATAAAAGCTGAAGGCCTTAAAACACCATCGGTCACTGGTGGCTTGTTGACAGGGCTGTGTCCATTGGGAGAAGGTAGGGAACCATCCCTATGGATTGGAGGCTTTTCAACTTGAGCTGTTGCCTCTTTATTTTTAAATTCTACGTTTTCTTTTAGCTCATCTCTGGTTATATCATGCTGAGCTTTTGAGTCCAAGACTGTAAGTCCATTGGTGACAGCAGGATTAGGTTTGACAAACCCTTCAGAATTTGCTTGCTTTGCCTCTAGTGAGTTTGCTTTAGGACTTTTTACGGCCCGGTCTTGCTCTGTTACCAGTGTTATAGAATTTTTGCAGAGTCCATACTTCATGTGGTTGAACAGATGAGATTTCTCATTGCAGGTAAATGGACACTGGAAGCACTTGTATTTAAATGGTTTACCTGGTGGTCTTGGAATGTAATGAGGTTTCTTGGGTTTACGCTCCTTCATTATAGACATCTTTTTTATGAGATCAAGTCCTTTTGTGCTCTGAAATTGACTTTTTTTTTGTCACCTGACACCCTCGAGTGGATTGCCTTGTCAGCTTTGGTGAGATTCCTGTTTGTCAAGTTTTTCACCAGTCACCTGTTCCTCCAGAGACCACCTGAGATCTGCAGAAGACAAGAAGACAAGAATTCAGTGAAGTTCTACTTATTTATTCTTGAATACGCAGTCCACATAGTTAGTATCATATACATCACACCCTTTTTATCTGGTCCCCAGGGAGACTGTTCTTACTGTATACATACATACATATAGATTCCTGGAACAGCTCCCAGCAGTTTTACTGTGCGCTTCCTAATCCACATACCAGGACACCCATTGTATTCTTAAGTACATCTTGGAAAACAGGCTCTGCAAGATCAAATACCTTGCCTTCACTTCATTGCCACAGGACTATTATGGCTACTGACAGTTCTGTATCTAAGTGTTTTGGAGAACATGTCTTACATTACTGAGAAGGACAATCTCTACCAAAGAAACAGCCTTAATCCAGCCATAGACAAATTGAAATTTGACCAGTTCAGCAGGAGTCATCAAAATTTTTATCCATCTATTGGCAGGCTGGTTGTACTGAAGTCGATCTATCGATCTGTGGTTAAGGAATGAAAATTACATAATCTACAGGTAGCTTAACTCATGGACTCTTAGTCTAACCATAACTCATTTTATACTTGGATAGGTTTGGGTGATTAAGGAGGTGAAAGAAAGTAGCAAGGAAGGGTAAAAACCCCTTCTGTGTCCCATTTGGTAGATTTCCCTTCACTTTTTCACCTTCAGAGAGAAAAGAAAGTGAGAGAAAATCTCTCAAAAGTGAGTTGTCTGAACATTGCCCCATTGGAAGACTTCTCTATTCCTAGTCTAGATGCGAGTTTGGTTTTATCTTCACTTTTGGTCCTGGAGACAGTGGTCATTAGGACAGATCTCACCAACCCCTCTATACTCTTTCAAAGGCTAAAACAGAAAGTTTTGTTTTAGATACAGTCAGAGGGAACAAAAAGTCCTCCAGTGGAAGGACAGTATAGCCTTCTTACAACAGAGGATGATCACATGACACATGGAAATCCCTTCTGGTGCTGTGGCTGTACTATGCTTTGCACTTTATATAAAAGCAACCAGAAGGGGGCCATGCCTCAATTACAGACAATAAGCATGACTACTTTGGAGAGCTGTAAAAATTAAAAAAAAAAAAAAAAAAATGCATAGGGCTGTATAAAAACTAGGCAGGGCCGAGATACTTCACAAAAACAGAGTGTACAGATGAGATCATTTTCAGACTAAAGTACCCTTCTCTTGACAATTCCTGGCACTGGATGATGTCAAAAAACATGTTTTTGATACTACAGTTTTTAAATGAAAAAAATCCAAGTCTTTATTACTTGCTGAGATAAGGAAATGTTAATCTGTTCCGCTTTGGGGATCACTTTTTCCTGTAGCACAAGAGCATGGAGGGAGCTATCCTGGCCAAAAAATTCTACAGGCAGCATTGTTTCAAGCCATTTGCTCTACCTCGTGATTGTGCAACAGGAAAAGAGCGATCGCTATGCTGACCCGATTAAGAAAACCGTCTGTGCAAGAAAAGAAGAAACTAGGATGTGCAATTTAAAAAGTCTCCTAACTCATTAGATATCCCTTGAAAAAGATAAAAGTAGTTAAACCTGGACTTGGTGCCACCTTGCTGTCAAAGATCTATGCGTTCCATCGTGCTCTGCAGAAGGCTAGATTGTCCTCACCGTATTCATCTTATAGTTGTTCTATCAAACGTTCCCCCCCTTTTTTTTTTTTTTTTTTTTTTTTTTTTTTTTCTTAGTTTACAGGTGACTAAGGTGATGGTGATTTTTTTTCCCTTTTCATTATTTTATCTCTCCTTCCAGTTTCCTTGTGACTTGTAGCTGCATGTTTCCTTATTTTCAGTGATACTCAAGGCGTGAGAAAGTTTTGGAGTGCGGTTCTCATGTCTATGGAGTTAAGATGTGTTATGGCAGGGATTTAATAGAACAGACAGTGAGATAAAAAGTGATTTCATCACTCGCTTGAAGCAGCATGATTTTAACGACGATTGTTACAAAACCCCTGACAGATCACTCTGGAAAACATACATACTAATTGCCGGTGAGCCGCGGGGCACTGATTTTAGAAAGAAACGTCTTTATTTAATTCAAGTGGTTAGCTGTTATTAGCGCGACGTGAAGACTGGTTAATTTTCAGCCTTCAAAACACGAATTCTGGGCGCTGAGGAAGGATGAGGACTGCCACCTTCTACATTCTATATATGAGAATCTGCAGCTTTTCACTTTGAGTTGTTATAATGTTAATTGCAAGCTATATTACTTCTAAAGCTACAATAAATATTCAGGACAACAGTCAAAGGATATATCGAATAGAACATTTACATTTCTGATAACTGAAACTGAAGATTTGTAAAAAAGTAGTGTTCGTAAACCGATTGCTGACCACTGAAATATCTTTATTTTATATATATATATATATATATATATATATATAAAAAATCATATTTTGTAAAAAAAAAAAAAATATATATATATATATATATGAGTATTATGTATGTATATATAAAATATTCTTTTTATGTAAAATGCTAAATACTTTAATCTTCTAAATATAGGAATTATTTTAGGTGCACTTTTTTTTATCCTTATAAGACAATGCGAAGAGCCTAAATAAAACATTTTACAAGATCTGGAGCCGAACCAAGAGATATTTTTTTCTTTTTCTGTTTTATGCAAAATATTTCCAAATATAATAAAAATTAATTTAAACTGTCATCCCATAACTGAATATACAGTCCACCGTAATGGTTGTCTTTAGACATGTGATTGTTCTGGCCGATTTTATTGTATCTTTGGGTGCTACCAGCAATCCTCTGCTGGACGGTCATGTATGCTGCAACAGAAAGTGTATGGCTGCGTTCACCCTTCCTCTTCCAATAATATAAACATGTATGCTTGGGTGGTATGAACATGTTTGTCAGTATCTGTTTAAAAGAAAGACTAAACCTGTCTATAGATTTTTTTTTTTTTTTTTTTTTTTTAACAGCCAACTGTCTGGTCAAAAAAAATGATTCCCCCTTCAACACATTCGAGGCTTATGGGGGATTCTCCCTGCTGCGCCATTGTATTCTGGCAGCGGGACTCCTCCACTGCCAAAATACACTGATCAGCGCTTGCAGTCAATTGGCTACAAGCGCTGATCGAGTGAAATTATATCAACAGTCCCATTGAGAAAGTGTCGATCACTAGCCGGCTGGTCAAAAAAAAAAAAGATTCCTCCATCCGCATATTTGAGGTAGATGGGGGGATTCACCCTGCTACGCTATTGTATTCAAGCAGCTGGACTCCCCCACTGCCAGAATACACTGATCAACGCTGCGTCCTATTGGCTGTAAGCTCTAATCGAGTGCAAATGTATCAACTGTCCCATTGAGGAGGAGTCGATCACTAGACCAACTCCTCTTGAACAGCCAAATTTCAATCCATGTATAGCCAGCTTAATTGTGTGTCTACACTCCAACTACTTTTATTTTACCAAATTTCTAAGAAATGGGACATTTCTGGCCTTCCAGATGTGGTACCATCAACAACTGGCAGGACAAGTACAGACTTGTAGTTTACAAACAGCTGGTGGTGTCCAGGTTTCCCACCTCTGTTTTAGAAGGATCTTTAACTAGTCTAGTACAGCAATACACATTCTACTGAATGACTGATTTGCATGACAGTGGGTCATATTTTAAATGAGTTTTGAACAATACAAAGGAATTGGGAGACTTAATACTCACAATGTGAGCTTGGTATGGGAAAAGCCAGCCTGCTACAGCCA